GTCACAACACCAACACCAACAACAACAGCAACAACAACAACAACATGCAAGCGACAATCGCCGCACGCGTTTAAAAGGTTTGTGTATTTGCTATTGTTTGCCAGAGCCAAAGATGAGATGGAGGGCAAAGGCAACATCAACGGCAAAGGCAGAGACTGAGGCTGAGGCTGAGGCAGAGGCAGAGGCAGAGGCAAAGGCGAGGCCAAAGCGGAACTGATCAAAGTCATTCAAACATGAATGAAGTTCATTAAAAACTGATCAAATCTGTTGAGCGAGAACAATGCAAACAAGACAAGAGTAGAAAAGACGCTGATACAACAAACGAGCCAAAGGCAACAACAGCAACAACAACAACAACAGCAACAACAACAACTAGCAGGGGGGAAATTGAGGGAAAGATGCTGTTCGACGTCGACGGCGACTGCGCAGCTGGTTAGTGACATTTTGTGTGGATGCGTATCGATTGTGATTGTCTGTCTGTGTGTGTGAGTGTGTGTGTGTGTGTGTGAGTGTGTGTGTGTGTGTGTGTGTGTGTGTGTGTGTGTGTGTGTGTGTGTGTGTGAGTGTCATAGCAGGCAACTCTCGTTCCAACACTTGCGCCATGTGTGGTTCGCCGCTCCTGCGAGTCCTGCGTGCGAGCATATGCACCCTCCCTCTCTCCCTCTCTCATGCTAACGATCCTGCTGTGTGTGTGTGTATGTGTGTGTGTGTGCAGCAATTTCTTCAATTCAATTTCCCCGGCCTGGTCCTATTCAATTCTCCATGCGGCTTTACAAAAATGATGACATTTCCTGATATTTGTTACGCTCTATTGACAACGGCATCTGCCACAAAGGACTTACACAGGACTACACGGCACACCTGAACAGCAATTACAACAACAATAACAACAACAACAACAACAATGCCACCGACAAGGCACGAACAACATAACGGAAGTGTTAACGGTGCTTTCTTCCCGATAACAACAACTAGTTGAGCCCAAATGCAGTAAACATTATTGGCCAAGTTACATTTGGACATGCTCCCTCAATAAAGTTATAAATAAATAAATATATATATATATATATATATATATAGACTTGAACTTGAACTTCTACTGTTTTTCCAATAATTAATTTAATTATTCAATTGATGAAACATGCCGTGTGTGAATAAAGTGGGTGGCTGGTGGGCATTGAGAAGCTGGGCCAGGTGACGACAACAACGATGATGTCGCGTTGAGTGTGTCACTGGCACAAAGACGATGTCGATGCTGAGTGCTGAGTGCTGGATAAATGGAGGAGATGCTGTGCCGGTGATTATGACGACAAACCATAAAATGCAGCCGACGTTGAGGCAAGCCAAGGCGGCAAAGGGCGTCGCGAGTTATGCTGCTGCCATGGCTTCCAGGAATACGCATTTGGGCCGATGGTCCCATGTCTGTGTGTGTACTGAGTGTCGCTCCTAGACGTGGCTTAATCCACGCACCGCACACACACCGAAGCCAAATGAAAACGAAACCGTGTGCGAGCCACAAAAGTCCTATGCGCAAAATGCAAAACAATATCATCATAAAAACGCAGCGCAAGTCGCCCATAACCGACGTGCACAGCAAAAACCAAGCCAAAACTAAGAGACCCGATGCCAATAGCGGTGCCGGTGCCGACGCCGGTACCAGTCTGCATCCCATTCCCAGTTACCAGTTGCCAGTTGCCAGTTGCCAGTTGCCAGTCGAAAACCCAAAACTCAAAACGCAAACCCAAAGCAAGACCAAGTCGTCGTCACTCTTGACCGCTATAAATCGATGAAGTCATTGTGTGTGCGGCTATCCTGCAAGCCAGCCAGCCAGCCAGCCAGCCAGCCAGTCAGCCAGCCAGCCAGCCAGTCAGCCAGCTTGCCAGTAATGTGCGAAAGAGAGCGATGCAGCCCTGCCCAGTGCTGTGTGATGAGCGCGAGTGGCAACGAGCATCTCTGTTGCCTTTGCCTTTTTCATTTTTATTTTCGTACTTGGTTCGATTTTATTGCCACCTCATAAAAGTAGCATAAACATGTTAGTAGCCTGTTGCTACCGCTACTTAAGTTAGTTGCCAGCGTTGTTGTTGTTTTTGTTGCTGCTGCTGCTGCTGCTGTTGCTGCTGCTGTTGTTGGTGTTGTTGTTATGCTCTTTGCTGGTTGCTGTTGCTGTTACTGTTGCTGTTGCTGCGTGCGCAGAGAGTACTGCAAAGATTTACGAATTTGTTGCACTTTTTATTGTGTGATTTTTACTTCACAGTGGGTTAGTTATTCTTTTTTAGTTCCACTTGTTGTTATCAATCTGCTTTGCATAAGTTTGCGCAGCTGCCGACAAACGGCTCTTGCTGCTTGCATTGGTTGGCTGATATATGGAATAATAGTGGCAGTGCTGAGCTTTACCTATAAATTGTGATACGGCAGGAAAACTGGTTCAAGTACTTGTAGAGCATAACAAGTTCGTTGTTATTGTCTGGTTGGCCTTTCTCTGCTCGTCGGTTCTTCTTTTATTTCTGATTGTTTCTTTTTGTTTTTCTTCTTCTTCTTTTTTTTTTTGTTTTTTTTTTTTTTTTTGTCACTCCTCAGCTCAGCCGTTGTTCTTGTGAAGTTTTTCCTTCAGTGTCAAAGTGTAATAAAATATTACTCATGGTAATTACAATTTTTGTGCTGCGCTGTTGCTGGTTTGCTTTTATTTTTGCTGTCGGCTCAAGTTCAATGTGCACGGGTAAAGAAGAAGAAAAAAGCACAAAAACAATTTTGAACAATTAAAAAGTGTTTTGAGGTGCTTAAATGCCCAGTAACAACAAGAGCAAGAACAGCAACACCAACAACATCGTTGGCTTCTACGCAGGCGCGTCTACGCCATAAACATAACCAAAGTGCTGCTGGCGACAGTTCAACGACATGTTTATTAAGTCATACGCAAAATTTGTTAGGTCTGCCTGTCAGCGAGACCCAAGCCCTCAGCCCCGTTCCCCGTTCCCCGATCCTCGATCCGCAGTCTCCGAGCCCGGTCCCAGAGCTTCGACTGTTAAATGAGAACTCGCTTTCTGATTTATGTGGCCGCACTCTATGAAATTACATAAATGATCATAAAAATGTGTGTTAATAAAACCAAAAGCCAAACAGCAGCCACACACACACACACACAGAGAGAGATATTATGTAATTAGAGAAGTTTCGTTAGCCACATTCTCAACTGCAGACCTGCGCCAGTGCAAAAGCTGCCGATGGAAAACTTAGCACATTCATAAATGGTGTAGAACACGACAACAGTATAAAATCCCGCACGCTCTTATCGATAATTATTCACACATATTCACACGCATTTCGTTGATAAGCGAGGCTTGCCTGGTACTCGACTTTAAATTTAGCATTTAAAATCACAATTGCGATACCAGATAGCAGATACCTCCCAGCAGCTGCAGGTAAAGGTGGAGAGTAGTAAACTTTAATCAAAGATTCATACTTGTGAATATTGTTGAAAAACAAAGTGTAAAGATTTAACGATTTTTTATATATATATATGTATATATACTAATTGAGACACATCGAAGTATGCGGCATAAACAAAATATAAACAATAAATTAATTAAAGCCGTTCGTAAACAAATCGAAATTGTCGATAAATATATACATTATGGATTCAATTCAATTAGCATTGAGGCAATATGAATATCAATTAGGTTCGAGACGAAAGCAAATGCTAAATGTTTATTGCATATACAAAATAAATGTAATTTCATTTAATGTGTTTACAAATAATGGATTGATTTTCGAATTGATCGTTTGTCAAAGAAAAGCTGATAATTGATTTGCCACTCGGCAGGCAACTCAGCAAATTGCTGCTCGCCACAAGGCCCTCTCAGCCTGCATCTGTCTCTATTCAACCGATGCTCTATCTCATTTCGGCCCGCTCTTAATATCATTACGGGCCAAGGCGGTATTCAATTTTCTAGGAAATGCTAACTGCAGCAAAACAATAAAAAAACACACACACACACAAAATAAAATAAGAAGAAATTGTTAAATAAAAAGGACAAAAGCAAAAAGTGGCCGAAAGTGCAACTGCAACAGAGATAGAGACGTTGGAAGAACAAAGGATGGCCAAGACACAAAATGCAGTTATCTGCACTAAAAATTGTGCACAAAGGCACCGAACCAAACCGAACCGACCCGAACCGAACCGCACTGCACCGAACGTAACGGAACAGAACAGCACAGGACGAGCCAAAATGCCCCGAAAAATGATGGGTTATTAAATGTTGTTAATCTTTAGCCATGGCCCTGACCATATTCAAATTTCAAAAGTAAGTAAAACAAACACACGCACACAGGTAAAATATTTCTCTGTTGCGCTTTCTCTCTCTCTCTCTCTCTCTGTCTATCGCTTGGCGAGAGGCAGCCGCAAAGCAACCACCGTTATGGGCAGGCAAGGACAATAGAGCAATAGAGCCCGGAGGCAGCAAGGAGTCGCAGACGAGGACGAGACAAACCCGAATGTCGAACATAAACTCGAACCCAAAACCGAACCCAAAACCGAACTCGAACCCGAACCCGAGTGAGCCTCTGCCATTTGCCTTTATTGTGCACGCTGCTTAAATATTTACCAAGTTTTATAATATTTATGACAGCTAAAAACATAACAACACCTACTTTAGACAAGCAGACCCTTTTGGCCCAGCAACGGGGACACTTGACACTGAGCACAGGTCGGCTTAGGGCCTCATGCTCTTGGCCAGGCTTAACTAACACGGTCAGCTTCCTGGGCCCGTCCTCGCCATCCTGCTCGATTGCAATCAATAAACGGCTTAGCCACAGCGGCAGCATCATAATATTCAAATATTTTTGTTGCTTCTGTTGCTGCAGGGTGTTTGTTGCAGGTCCGGTCTGTAATCCGTTTGCGTGTCAACACTTGGCCCTGGTCAGCAGAACATGTTGCAGTGCAGTGTAGACTGTAATTTGTGGCTGCTCACTCGATAGACAGCTTCCGCTTTGCTTTGCTTGCGCTAATCCTTGCTGAGGATCTTGTCCTCAGAGGTGCCACTAAGCGCCCTAAACGAAGCTTGGCTCAATGCTAGGCTCAATAAGCCAAGGTATTAAAAAGTAAATTTGCATAAATCCGCTTAAAACAATGTAAAGGATTTCGAGTATTTTATATATATATATATGTATATGTATATGGTTGATGCAAACAGTTAATGACAGCAAGCAGCCATCAGCTTAGCCAGCAACAAGTGCACTTACTTTGTGGGCTACTTAGCCCAGCTAAACGACAGCTCATCCTACTCGGGTAGTTCATTGAGTTAGTTGGCTCAGATCAGAAAGTGTAAGCTATAAGCCAAGATTTGGGCGGCAATCAACAGCTCATTGATGAGATGCTGACGACGATGGCTCAAGGCCAATATTGCTGCCGCTGACGTTTTCATTGAGCTCACCTGCCAGTGCCAATGACCAATGAAGTGGCCAGGTGGAGGCATTGGAACAACGACTTCGACGTCCGAATCCTGCTCCTCTCAAGCTGACAACATGCAGCTGCTGATGGCCAGTTGTTGGTTGTTGGCTGGTGCGCGTGCTAATAGTTTGACGCCGCTGCCAAAGATCATAAAACTCTGGATTAAAGGGAACACAATTGAAAGGCGGGTGCATTGCAACCCTCTGCTCAGTTCGTTCGATGCAGTGCAGCCATAAAGTGGACGCCACATAAATATTAAAAGGGCGCTACACGCACAGAGAACTGCCTGATCATAAAATAACTAAGCCGAATCCAAAATGGGCCGCTAGACTACAAAATGAAGTTCTTCGCATTGCTGTCATTTTGGGCTGCTGAACTATTAACCAAATGAACAACTCCACAAATAGTTTTGAAGCCTTGTTTCCGGACGAATCGAGAAGTTTCGAATGCGTTCGAGAATTTCCATCCGATTTTATATTATTTGAATAAAATGACGAGAAAGTCTAAATGATTTTATTTTTTCAATCTTAAATGCATTATTCCGATTTATGCCTATGATCCATATTTATGTTGTAATAAGTACAGTTGTACTTTGTGGCTATGCATACGATCTATACGATCTATATCTATGCTGAAATTCAATTTTCAAACGGTGATAAAAGAAGAATATATCTAATAATAAATTCGTACGGATCAAATTGTGTTTCCTATTAAAGTATTTATTTTTACTTGCAGAAAATGAAATCAATTTCGGTTTGTATTTTTCAATATTTGCATTTATTGTTTGCTTTCTTTGCAGCTTATCAAGTCATGTTTCTATATGTATGTGGTATATAAAAAAAAAAGTGAATGTGTGTTTGCTTTAACTTATTTATTACAATTTCATATTCTCATATTCAAATAAAGGTACAAACTAGCTAAGCATATTGCGATTAACACTCAAGACTATATCACAGTTCAACAAAACCTACAAGCTAATCTCAAAAAAAAAAAAAGAAATAAGCACACTATGCATACTAAATATATATATAAAATATATAAATATATATATAATTTAACCTACAAACTAAACCAAAATAATATAAAAAAAAATATTTAGTATATAAATATTGGGTTGAGAAAACATTTTGTAATACTTTTGAGCTGGTTTGGATGCCAAATAGTTGCTAAACATATCTATATATATATAGCTAGGAATGTTACGTATAGGAATGTAGTGTAGTGATAAAAGTATGCTTCGATGTTGCATGTTGTATATTGTATGTTGAATGTCAAGTGCTGAATGCTGCGGTTGCTCTTATGTGACTAGAACGGCAACTGCTGAGCTGATGCTGAAGATGCAGAAGGTTGTTCTGTGCTGATCTTAGATGTAATTTAATCGCTTAGGACTATGAAATATAATTTAATTAGCCATGATTTTGATGCTGTGGTTTCTTTTTCCTGTTGTTTTCAATAAATAAATAACTATTAAGCATATAACTAATACAAAATAATAATACTTAAGCATGGCCAAAGCATAGGCAGACAGAGAGACCGAGATGGAGACAGGTAGAAAGGGGGAAAGGTGACCAAACTTGTTCTGCAAAAAGTGCATTAAGTAATTTAATTAAACTAGTCGATCTTTAAGGGTTGCGTCTCGAATGAATATTGTACATAATGTATTAATTATGCTGTTATTTCACGTGCGCAGCACGCGGCGAAGTTGTCGCTGATTGGCTGCTGCTGCTGTTGCTGCTGCTGCTGCTGTTGCTGCTGCTGCTGAGTGCGGCTGCTGTCGCTTGCCACGTCGCCCGCCAGCGGCCCCTGCCACATCGAGGGGCAGCGGCTTGGACACCTCGTTGAACTCGTTGCGATTGCCAGCACCGTCAAGCGATTGCTGCAATCGCTGTTGTTGTCCCACTTGCTGACGCCGATGCTGTTGCTGCCATTGGCGCTGACGCTGTCGCTGCTGTTGCTGCCGCTGCTGCTGCGGTTGCAGCTGTTGCAGCTGTTGCTCTTGCTCTTGGTGGTGCGACAATGGCGATTGCTGCTGCTGGTGCTGCTGCTCTCGCTGGCGCTGCTGACGTCGCTGGCGTTTCTGGCGTCGCTGCTGGCGCTCGCGTTTGCTGTCGCGTCGCAGTAGCTGCCACATGGTGCGCAGAAACTCATAGTAATGATGTTTCACAAAACGCATATCCATCGGATCTGCCTCTCCGATTGCCGTCGCTGCCACAGACGCTGCTTCAGTTGTTGTCGCTGCTGCTGCTGCTGCTGCTGCCGCTGGTCGCATCTTGCTACGCAACTTGAGCCGCCTGTTCATATCATTGCGCGAGATTTGTGGCAGCTGCAGCTGGCGTCGCTGCTTGGCCGAAACGCCAAGCGTCAGCGGCATCGGATATGTGCGATTTACGGCCGTCTCCAGCTCGCAGAGCATGCTGCGCGAGCTGAGCAACAGCCTCTTCAGCTCTTTGGCGATGGCGGACTCGCGCTTCAGATTCTGCCTGTCCCAATTGATTTGCACGCGCCGCAAATACGCAAAGCTTGCCACATACGTTTGCATGTTGCGATACCAGCGCTTCAAAGCGATCTGTGAGCGAAAAATGAAAAAAAATACCGCAAACGGACTTTGTTATCAACATCAGCATCAAGACAAAAGGAGAGAGAGCGAGAGAGAGAGACAGAGAGAGAGAAAGAGCGAGACAGCATTCGACTCCTGATATGCATATGTGTTAATTGTTAACTTACTGTTGAATTGGGCTTCAGCTTGGGCAGAAATTTGTAGTTATATTTGTGAAGCGACCACACCTGCATATCCCCAATATCGATGCCCTTGTGGTCCTGCGTGCTGTTCAGCTCACGGTATTCCGTGCCAGCGGCACGCTTCAACTGATTGAAGATCTAAACAAAAAACGCAACAACAAAAAACAGAAAACAGAAATCAGAAAAAAGAAAAAAGAAAAACAGGAAACCTCAGTTAATCAGCCAGAGGGAGAGCTTTAATTAAGTACTGCTTACCTGTTTGGGCCGCTGGGCGCGCCGACTCTCGCTGGCTGAGGGTGTGTAGTAGGAGCCGCCGCAAGGATTCATCCACTCGACAGCCGTGTTGTTCTCGCTGTAGTTGCGATAATCGTACCAGTTGCTGTTGCGCTTGCGATGCCGCTTCCGCAGATTGAGAGCGGTCACAGCGCTTGATGTGTTGCTGCTGGTGATGCTGCTGATGCTGCTGTTGCTGCTGCTGCTGTGTCTACTGCTAATGGTGGTGGTGGAGCTGGTGGTGGAGGTGCTGCTGCTGCTGCTGGTGCTGGTGCTGGCGCCCTCGATTACGGTGAGGCCGCCGCTGGCTGTGGCCATGGCGACCGTGGCATGCAGTTGGATGAGATGGAGCAGCAGCAGTGGCAACAGCAGAGTGGACCACATATCCGCATTGTCCTGCCGCGCAATGTGCGTTGTCCTTGTCCTTGTTCTTGCCGTCGCTGGCGTCCGTGTCCTTGTTGTTGCCGTTGGCGATGCCGTCTTGTTGCTTTTAACTTTGGTTGCAGCGCAATGGCAACCAACTGTTAGATAGATATATATATATAACGATATTTATTTTTTTATTGCGATTTGGAATTTTTGTATAATATATGATTATGATTTAGGAATTTGTGGATCTTTTTGTTCTGCGATTTTTTATCGTGTGTGTTCAATGGGCCAAAAAAGAATGTTGCCAAAATGCAGATGAAATGAGAAGAAAACGGTTTGCAACAGTAATTCGGAAGGAAAGAAAAAAACAGAAAGAGAAAGAGAAAGAGAAAAGAAAATAAACACACACACAATGACTATCAAGTGATTAACATGGCAAGTAATCCTTGTCGCCGTTGGATTATAATATCGATCAGGACTTTATTCGGTCAAAAAGCTAGAAACGCCAATGCAACTTGCTCGGATCTCAAAAATGTTGTTCGATCTTTGAACATTTTTTTGTGCGTTCAAATGATCCGCCTTTTTGTTTTTCTATTTTTTTCTGTTTTTGTTATTTTTGAGAAGCTTGGAATTTAGAGCAGGTAAGTCAATTTGAACATTTTTGTAACTTGAATGGAATTTCAAAAAGATAAGGATCGAAAAATATTACAAAACGTTAAGCTCCAAAAAATTTGGATTCTCTCTTTCAATGCACAAATGATTAAACTGTGCGCATGCGTAGCTCTCAATTGGTTGGATTTTCGGTTCCAGATTTTTTCATGACAAGATTACGTTAAAATAAAGATTTAAAAAAAAAGTTATATTAAAATTGTTCTAGTTTTTTTTTTTTTTAGTTTTTTAATAGATAATTTCAAAACAAAACTAATACACACACCGCATTATCGATGAAAAGTTCGTCAGCTGAAATTGTTAATAACAATTTGCAGTTTAATCCTCTTTTTGTTTCGCTGCTGTTGTTGTTGTTGTTGGTTTTAATTTATTTAATTGTGTTGCACTTGGATTGAATACACGAACAAAAAAAATTGATTGAGAAACTTGCAACGAATATGAATGTTGGAATTTCTTTTTTATTTCTTAGAGTTGCATATTCAGTTGATGATGATGTTGAGCTGCTGTTATTATCTTTGTTTCTTTGAGTTTGAGTTTGAAGAACACTTCTACCGAGCACTACTGTTCACGTCCAGGCACAAAACCGAACTGAGCCAAAAGTTGCGCTGAATTCGACCAGCTTTCTTTGTTGAGCAGCAGAAACAGAAACAGAAACAGCAGCGGCGACAGCGACAGCAGCAGCGGCAGCAACAGACCAGAGACCAGAGAACCGACAACCGACAAACGACAACCGAAACCGAAGCGACCGCGAAGCGACGTCATTCGGAGACAGAGCGAAAAGACCATGTGAAAAACGAACGGTACGTAAAAGAAAAATAAAGACTGAAGACCCGGCCAGGCCGGGCCAGGCCAGGGCAGGGCAGGCCAGTCCAGGCCAGACCCGAGTCGGGCCTCTGATTCTGAATTTCTATGGTTGTGTGAGTGTGAGTGAGGCAGCGCTGCCTGAACGTCCATGTCCATTTGTCTGCCTGCCTGTCAGGCCTGATCGAGTGTTTGCCTGGGCCTGCCCCGCTCTATTCGGCTTACCTGATATGCATCCTACACACACACGCGCAAACACACGCACACACACACACACAGACAGGCACACACTTCATGCAATCACATACAATATGCTCGTTTTGACCAACGACGAACGCCAACGTAAGGCAGACCAACCAGCTAGTCGAGCACTGGTTAAGCCTGTCCCTGTCCGGGCTTGTGTGTGTGTGTGTGTGTGTGAGTGTGCGAGTGTGTCGCCATCGCTGTGTTGATAGGCACCAGGCTCATTTGCCACTTATCCAATGAAAAGATTTCACTCAAAGTGCACTCATAGAAATCTACCTGAGCGATACGTAGGCCATACGCCTGCCCCAAGGCAACAGCTGTCTGTCTCCTTCTCTCTCCCTCTCTCTCCCTCTCTTTCTCCATCCATCTCTCTCTGTTTCTGTTTCTTTTGGTACATATTTCTCTCCCTCTCTCTCTCTCTCTCTCCCTCTCGAATGACAGAGAGAGTGCTAGCTTTCTTTACATCTCGAGCACTTGTCAGCTGTTTCACTGCAAGTTCCCCGACCTTGGCTACCCAATTGAGCTTAGCCTCTTAACTGGGCTAAAAGCTTACTCACCTGTTAATAAGCCAGAATTCAGAATTCATACCGATATCCCCGTCGCCGAAAAGTATGCTTACTTTAATATCTTTGGCTGTATTTCATCCACATAATACATAATGATCTTTTCTACTTATTTTTAATTTGTAGATGTTTTAATACGCACATTTATAGTTCATAATATCATTGCATTTACAATTAATAATATGAATACTCTAAAAGAATGTGTATAATACTATAAGTAAAAAAATAAAGTTAATATAAGGATACTAGTATGTACACACAAAGAAAAATCCATCATAAAATTATGAAAGCCAAAACCTTCAGTTTCAGAAATTTCTTTCAGTATAATAAGGTGAAGTGAATTTTAAAATTCAGGACGATTTTTTCTCTGAGTGAATACTAATATCAAATTGGCTTTGTCCGATCGCCTTTTAATAAGTCATTTTTACGGTAGTTGTACTAACTATAGGATCTATAATTTACAAAAAGATTAGAACTATTTCTTGCTTCCAATATAATAAGACCGAATTGACCAAATGTGTTCCAGCTGAAAATGCAACAAATCAAAGATACTCGTATACTATGTAATACATATAATAATCAGGATGTTATTGAATTTTGTGCAAAGCTCGAACTACTTTTGAAGGTATTGTGAGCTACAATTGAATAGCATTAAAGATTAGTAACAATTTGAGTATGAAAGAGGAATGAACAAATATACTTCGCCTTTCCCAGGTCAAGTCTTGTTTTTGACTTTTTATCTGCTCCGAGATATTCCAAATCGCATGTGGATTATTCTTCAGGGAGAGATGCACACCTCTCGTCGAACCAGCTTTGGAGTTAAAGTATAAAAATAGGTCATCAGTAAGGAAACTAACAAGCTATGAACAACTTGCACAGTTTCAAATGTTGCTCAATGATTTGTAGTTATTCGGTCCGTGCCCTGTCCACTCTTACGAATCAAGCACTCTGAACACACTGATGGATCTAGCAGCCGCTTTGCATATTTATACTTCATTATCCAATATATATATATATTTATTATACATATATGCATATATATACAGATAGAGAGAGAGGGAGATGCCTGGAAATAAGCCAGTCAGCCGTTTTGGGCATATCCTCAGCTGCAATCAGCAGCAGCAGCAGGTCAGCAAATAATTTTATGATTAGCTAGTTTTTGGGCAAATGCTAAATGTTCTTGTACTCTTATAAATGGGACGAACGCCCCATGACCAGCGCCTACTTGACTTGCCTGCAGTACCTGGTCTCAATTGCTGGGCGGTCGGTCAATAAATAACTGACCTGGGCCCTAAGGGTGCCTGCCCCATCGAGTATCTCGCCAATTCGCAGCCCGAGCAATTGTATGCTTGCCGTCGAAGTGGGACAATTGACGAGCTAATTAAATTTAGTTGCTGTTTTCTTTGGTTTTGTTTTGTGTGACTTTGCTACAAAATTATGGCCACATTGTTTAGCCCGGACAGCTGTGTACGGGACGTGGACTTTAGACTGTCCGGGAGCAGCCATCGACCGGGCCCAGAGTCCTGCGTCTAACTGTAAGTGCAATTGTTGGCATAGGCCGCCTCAGACTCTTCAGCAATGGCAAGAGCAAGAGCAACAGCAGCAGTAGGAGCAGCAGGAAGCAGCCGTGTCGCGCAGCGGGGATACTCGCCTTGATTTTTGCCGCACGCCACACTGAGGACACACACAGGACCTGGACTCGCTGCGAGGCACATATATCAATATGGCAGCGTCTTTTGTATGCCCATCCCTTGGGTATATGTATTTGTATCTGTATCTGTATCTGTGCTCGTATCTATAAATGTAACTGTCCAATTCGCACCAAACAACTTCATCTACATGGACAACAAACACGATTATTGCATTGATGAGCTCCTGCTGCTGCTGTCTGCATACAGGGAGTGCGCAGGCGCTGCAGGACGTCCCGTGCAAAGGACCCGATGCGTCGATGCTGCCACCGGCAGTCATGGTTCAAGTCCCATTCGCATTCGCATTCCCATTCGGATTCCCATTCCCATTCCCATTGCCAGTGCTGACCTCGCCACAGTCGCTCACACAAATATTTTACTTGCGATTCGTTCTGGACAACAAAATATTTTGCTACAAAATTGAGTTGTTGTGTGCGGTCCCCGATCCGCAGTCATGCTGTAATTTTCCTTTCTTTACCGGCCGTATCTAATCGAAAGGATACGCTTAAATTGCCACAGCCAATGCCAAGCAGCGAACACCTTCGAGCGTCGAGCGTCGAGCGTCGACCTCGCACCGGGTACCCGCCGGGGCAGACCAGTGGATGGTTAACCGAGCTCGGCCTCATTGCCAAAACAACGACTATTATATACCCTATAAATGTGACGTTGCTTACGTTCATTTGTCTGAATTATCTCTAGATAATTTTTAATACAGTATATATCTATTGCTGCATGCATAATAGCTGGTTCACCTGAGAGATTGTAAAACATGCAGAGAAATGATAAGGCAAAGAGTTGTTAGATATGCACGGATGTACCCATTACATGCGCTATTATAGGGTATAATCATTACACGCTGCTTAGCTCCTGTCGCACACAGAGACCGACCGAGTTGGTAACCGAAACCAAAACCGAACCCGAACACAACCCTCAGCCTCAGCCTCAGCCTCAGCCTCAACCTTCCTCTTCTACAGTCGTAGTCCTGCCCAGTGTTGTGCTGTGTTGTGTTGTGTGTGTTTTTGTGGGTGTGCAACAACTGCACTGAGGTGTGAGTTTTTAGAGGCTAGTGCTGTTTTGATTATGCGTAAAATCGTTTCGTTTATCATGATTTTTACTGCAATTCTCACATTGCGGGCATCTTTCAGGTGCCCCGTCTCCGTCTCCGTCTCCGTGTCCGTGTCCGTCTCCGTCCTTGTCCGACGATGGATTGCAACGGTTAGTTAGTCGATTGGTTTGTTTCTGTTTGTGTCTGTTGTTGTTACCGCTGCTGTTTGATTTGCCAAATTAGCGTTGCAATTGGCATCGGTCATGGATGATCAGCCTGAAATTATCTCAATTGCCTCTATCAAGTAATGAAGTTGCTCACTTTTCAGTGATTATTGTTTAAGATTGCCGATTTCTTTCGTCATTCCTATATTCATACATGTCCAGGCACAA